GAGTACAGATGTGTTTTGAGGAGAGATTTAAAAATAGAGACTGAGGTGGCCTGTCGAATGTTGATGAGCAGATTATTCCAGAGTTTAGGGCCCATGACTGAAAACGCCCGATCTCCTCTGAGCTTCAGCCTGGTTTTTGGTACGGCCAAAAGCAGCTGGTCTGATGATCTCAAGGCCATAGAAGGAGTATAAAGATGAAGGAGGTCATAGAGGTATGAGGGTGCAAGGCCATTAACACACTTAAACGTCAGCAGAAGAATCTTAAAATCAACTCTGACATGCACAGGAAGCCAGTGAAGGGAAGACAGAACTGGAGTAATGTGCTCAAACCTGCGAGTTCCTGTTAGTAGTCGAGCTGCAACATTTTGGACAAGCTGGAGACGTGAGAGAGAGACCTGACTGACCCCAGCACAAAGCGAGTTACAGTAGTCCAGCCGGGTTGTAATAAATGCATGGACTAATTTTTCAAGGTCAAATCTGGACAGGACAGACTTGAGCTTTGCTATCTGCCTTAGCTGAAAGAAGCTTTTTTGAAGAACAGAATTTATCTGCTTATTAAACTTTCAGTCCGAGTCTAAAACTATCCCAAGATTGGTAACAGACTGTTTTAGATATGGCTGAAGGGAGTCTAGGTTTGCAGGATCAGTGACAGTGGCAGAGCTAGGGTTAAACACAATGATCTCAGTCTTCTGATCATTAAAACTCAAAAAGTTTGCAGCCATCCAAGTCTTGATGTCATCAAGACATTTTAACAAAGGGCGAATGGAGGAGGAAATGTTAGGTGTTAACGGCAGATAATCTGAGAGTCATCCGCATAACAATGAAAGGAAAGACCATGTTTCCTCAGGATAGACCCTAAGGGGAGGAGATACAAAGAAAACAGAAGGGGTCCAAGAATGGAGCCTTGCAGGACCCCGCAAGAAAGAGGCACTGAAGTAGATAGAGTGTTAGCAAAATTAACACAGAAACTCCTGTTGCTCAGGTATGAATGGAACCATTCTAACGCTGCACCAGTAATCCCAACCCAGTGTTCTAGCCGGGATAAAAGGATACTGTGGTCCACAGTATCAAATGCAGTGGTAAGGTCAAGGAGTACCAGGACTACAGACTGACCAGAGTTATTTGCCAGAATAATGTTGTTGCAGACCCTAACTAAGGCTGTTTTGGTGCTGTGTAGTTTCTTAAAGCCAGACTGAAAGATCTCAAGAATAGAATTTCCACTCAAGAACTCGTTTAATTGAGTGAAAACTATTTTCTCCAGGATCTTAGAAAGAAAGGGAAGTTTGGAGATGGGTCTGAAATTTGAGCAGATTGAAGGGTCAAGTCCGGGATTTTTTATTAAAGGAGTTACCGCTGCATGTTTAAAAGCGTCAGGGACTACACCTGTAGCCATACTGCTGTTTATAATGTCAAGAACAGAGGGACCAATGGAGGGTAGGACTTGTTTAAAAAACGATGCAGGGATAGGGTCAGCAGGGGAACCTGAGGGTTTCATATGACCAATGATGTCATTTAGAAATGAGAGGGAAATGAGAGGGAAATGGGTTCAAACTGGTTAAAGACCGATGTGGAGGGGACAAAGACAGAGGGGTCAGCTGTGGTGAGGAATCAGTGACCTGATCGACTCAACCTTTTTAACAAAGAAACTGGCAAAGTCGTCACATGTAACTGCAGAGACCTCCCTGTTGGCAGACAGGCATGGTTAAAATGGTGTTAATGGTATTGAAAAGAACGCGGGGATTGTGGCTGTTTGAGGCGATGATTTGGGAAAAATATTTGTTTTTTTCTGATTTAACAGTGGCCTGGTACTCTTTGTAACATGATTTCATCATGATAAAAGAAACGTGAAGTTTGTCCTTCGTCCATTTACGTTCGGCTTTCCTGCATTGACTTTTGGCTGTGCGAATGATCTCATTCATCCAAGGGTGTGGGGTGCACTTTGGATGCCTAATTTTTAATGGTGCAACTAGGTCAAGCACCTTAGCACAGGTCTCTTGATGTACAGTGAAAACCCCAAATTACATTACGGCAAAGACTTGCTCATCCCAAAGATCCAGTCCCCCGGCACAAACAGAGTAATATTGTGTATGTTGTTCAGTGTCAGGAGGGCTGTGATCAGTCTTACATCGGGGAAACTAAACAGCCACTGGCCAAAAGGATGGCCCAGCACAGAAGATCAACATCATCAGGCCAGGACTCTGCGGTCTACACTCATCTCCAGGCCAGCGGTCACTCTTTCAAGGATGAAGATGTTCATATCCTGGACAGAGAGGAACGATGGTTTGAGAGAGGAGTAAAGGAGGCCATCTTTGTGAAAAGAAATTGTCCATCATTAAACAGGGGTGGAGGCCTCAGGGTTCAACTGTCCCCCTCTTACAATGCTGTGATTGCTAGTATCACTCAGCCCTCTGTGAACAGTAAACAGCCATCAGTGTGCTAATGATCCATTGTTAGGCTGATGGTCCTTCTTGAGCATGTGATCAGCTGGTTTTGGTTGTCAGCAGCAAACTGGTTGATCCACTCTGAGAAGGTGCTATTTATAAGACTGAGCTGAATACAGCTCCTCAGACTGAAGAAATCTTTCGGATTAAAGACGAATTGTTTCTACATTTTTTTTTTGTTTAGCTTTGTTTTGTTTTTTGAATGTCCAGATGACCAGATTTAACATTTTTTAGATTTTTCTATTCCTGGATTATTGAGCATGCATCAGGATACTTTCTCATATTTTGTTTGGTCTGTCTTTTACCTACTTGTTTAATGCATTACATGATCATAAATGTAATAAATTTTTGCTTTTGGTCTCTGTAAATTCATAAATGTGCCTTTGGAAATTTTAGAAAAACACAATTTCTATTTATATGAAGGGACTTTTTGGTAAAAAACAAACAAACAAAAAAAAAACAATTTAAGTATCTATTAAACCATTCCATCAAAAATAAAGGCCTTAATAGGAATAAACAATGAAATTAGTTATGCTTTAAAATATGCTTTTTGGATGTCACATGAGTTTTGGTAACAGGACTAAAATAAATGCAACCATCTTCAACTTTAAAGCTTAATAAAAATTAAAATAAAATAACCTGAGATGGACCAATATCCATTTTGAATAGTTGGATATGTATATTACTAGATCCAGTTTAAAAAAAAAAAAAAAAGTAAAAAATATATTCAATTTTGGAGAGTTTACAAAACTGATTCAGTTAAAAAAAAAAAAAAGCAGTTTTGTGTTGTGCGTTTCCTTGACTGATGAAGCCTTCTGGATGGAAGGTGAAACATTTCAGTACCCAAAAAAAGTAACTGTCCAGATGACCTGACTAAAAATTGTTGGTTTGTATTCCTGGATTATTGAGCATGGACTTTGTTGGTTTCCACCACTCAATTTCTGGTCCTGGACCGAAAGAATTTTTTGGACCGTCCCGTCTGGCTCTCTGAGTCACTGAACACTGAATTCGGTTTGAAGGGGGACCAACTTTAGTCCAGTTCAAAAACGGGTCAGTTTGATGATAAAAGACTACAGAGAAGCCAGGGGAGCTACCGTCCATCAGCTTACCGGAACCGGAAACTTTTCTCCACCCACTCCATCCTTCCTGGACACTCTTTACCACATTCCCGATTTTCCTGAAAAGTTGACCCCCAGTACTTGGTCCTACATCTTTGACCTGTGCTCTTTATAGCCTGCACTTCACTATTTCATTACCAGCTTTCTTATCAAGTGTCAGAAAGGGCATCCGACATAAAACATCGGAAAAGATCGGAAGCCATAACAATCATGCGAGTTTGTCCAAACAGTTTGATTCACGAATTACAAAAATATCACAAAGTATGCAGAAGCACTTAGACTGAAAACC